TAAACGTCAACTCGTCCCATCTGCTTTTGGGAAAATTCTTCTTTTGCCAGTCCTTCGTCACCTTAAGCGAAATAGGGTGAATACATCTCATACTAATGATATACTGATAGTCACGAAAACAATACTTAATTCAAAAAATAAAGTATAGTAGTCGATTGTTTAACTCACATCATTGTGGGAAAATTCTTCTTCTACCTGTCCTTCATCAGCTTAAACGAAATTGGGTGAATAAATCTCATATTACTGATTTGCTGTTAGTCTCGAAACTCTACTCTAATACGAAAATGAAAGCAATCCCAAGAATGTTATCTCAGGTTATTCATCGAAAACCAGTTATTCTTCGTACCTACATTGTGTCCTTTTATCTGTGCTGGCGTCTGTGTTTTACGAGTGAATATGATGATGCATAGATGTGTGTGTTTGTGTTGCTGGTAGTCGTGATTGTGAATTGAATTACGTCCTGGCACCTGAAGTGAAGCAGGCCTGTGTTCGGTTCCACTTCATCGCCGGACCTTCCACAATGCCGACTACCAAGTGTCCATTCGCTCTGTTTGCGCGGCGTTGACGACGGCTCCGTCTTCACGAGTCATGCAACTGCGTGTCCGCTTGTTCGAGATCATCTTGAGCACGAGCTCACGCGCCTGCAGGCCCGCATTTGCCGAACCCCGGCACAGGCATGACCTCCACGAAGAGGCTTCGGCAACTCTTCGTTGGTCCACTCGTCCGTTCTCGCCACGGGCCTCGGACGTTCGTGCTGTACCCGATCGAGGCCGGCGCAATCTGGGTCCACAGTCGCTGTGGCAACAGGGCGCTTGGTCTGGCTCGTCGTTCGGCCCCACAGACAACTTTTCTTCGCATCCACATTCGCGTCATTCCGAGGCCTTTCTGCATGTCCAACGACCGCCACGCCGGCGAGTCCAACCTGTTGCCGGGTTCGCCACACTCCACTCCACTCCACTTCACTCCGCTTCACTCTTGACACGTCCTTTGCCCTGGCGGCCTTCGAGACTGTCCTCTAATCTCCATTTACAAACAGCAACTCATCTGTTGCAAGCACTTTTTTGTTTTCCATTTTCGTGTATTCTCTCTCTCTCTTATACACACACACACACAC